GGCTTTCCATAGAAATGCCGTTCTCCAGGCGCAGGGACCCTGCGGAGGGGATTGGGGTGAGGCAGCCCCGGGGACAGCTTTCGCCTGTGCCCACCCCCTCTCCCTGCCTGCCACCCCCGTGGGACAGTGGTACCCACCGGGCTGGCTCCCCAAGGCTGGTAGAAAAGGGGCCTTTCCTGGTCAGGTGGCCCCAGGGCAAGAAGAGCACTGGTCTCTCCAAGGTTGGGCAGATGTTTGCTGCTGCCCACAGCTCCACCATGGCCTCTGCACGAGCAGCAGGATGAGGGAGTGACCACTTGCCAGCATCAGAGCTGGGGCTGACCTCCAAAGTGTCGCAGTGGATGTTCAGATTGAAGGAACAAACAACAACGTCTGTTCCTGGCTCAGTCCCGATGGTCCATCCCCTCCTCTCCCCACTGAGGTCCATCACCTAATGGTCCATCACCTGAGGTCCATCACCTCCTCTGCCTGGACCAGCCTTGGGGCCACCAGGGCAGGCCATGGCTTAACAGTGCCACCAGCACAGCTTTTCCCCCTCCCACGGGCTGCTCCAGGTTGGTGCTTCAGGCACTGCCAAAGCTGCTGGCCTCTGCCCAAACTGCCTCAATTTCCACCCTGTGACAGTGCAGAGCGTCCCCAGGGCTGGCACCATGTGCCACCAGTGATACCTCAATACCTACCATCCTTGGGACGAGCCAGGGCCGGCGTGGTGGTTGTAGCAGTGGCTTCTTGGAAATAGTCTCCAGCGTCATCAGCGCCTGGTGCAGTGGGGAAGGGGTGGGAAAAGTGACTCGGGGGACGCCTGTGCCCCCCAGGGCCAGGTCAGACCCCCCCAGCAGCGGTGTGGGGCTGGCTGAGGCTGGATGCAGGGATGTGTGGGGTGGGATGTGCAGCCACTGTGCTTCCAGGAAAGTGCACAAGCAGAGACCAGAGATGGTACCCACGCTCCGGCCATCACCGATCACCACCGCACCCGACCACCGCTGCTGTCCCCCAACGGGCAGGAGGAACCCCAGGGTCTGGGGCCTCACGTTCACCTGCCCATCCCATTTTGGGGACCCTATTTCCCGCAGCCAGCCTGAGCATGGCTGAAATCCTCCCTACCCCCATTATCTCATGGGATTTCCACGCCGCTGAGCCAGGCTCCAGCAGAGACTCGGGGACCCCAAGACGGGTCGCATCCATTTCCCCTCTCCCACCCAGCCGGTGAGGAAAGACCCTCCGGCGGGAGCCAGCGGCCACCCGACTCGCCTCCCCT